GTCCTCAACCCGAGAATACTTGTTTATCCGGGTCATCAATTCTCCCATGTCGGTTGGAGTTTTCTTGGTCAATGATCAGTAGAGGTCGGTGTCTCGGGAAAGTCCGAGCCTAAAAGAAGCTGCTACTATAACCTCGGAGCACCCCTCTACCTCATTTACCTCTTCCCAATAGCGAGTTGCATATTACCTCAGGGTCTCTCCCTCCTTCCACCTCAGGGTCAGCAGTGATCCGACAAACAGGGTAGAAAACTGTCTGGTAAGCTCCTTCCAAGATCTTATTTTGTTAGGCGAAAGTGTTTCGAACCGCTTCATGGTGGAGTCCCTTAAGCTCATTGAGAATACTCGGCACAGTAATCACTGATTCAAGTGGTATAGGAACATCATTTGCTTGTACTGCTTAAGGTGGGCTTTTGGATCAGATTGTTCGTCGTAGACCTTGAACCTTAGCATCTTAAACTTCTTGGGCACCTCCATCTTTATTATGTTCTTATAAAAGGTGATTAAATGATTTCGACGTCAGTATCGTCCTCTTGCTGGGTCTTATTTTTTCCCCTGGAGTCTAGCCGAGCTCTGAGGTCGTCCCCTTGCTCAGGGAGCATCTCTTTGTGCGTTCGGCGTCGGATGGTATGACCCTTCATCTCATGCCGGATAGAGAGGGTCGGACCCTCCTCAGACTCCTCCACGCCCCATCGCCCAGACAGTCCCCAACAGAGGTTATCCCAAGCCAACGGCCTCGCCCTCTTAGCTGAAACCTCTAGGAGCTGTCCCTTGGCCCTTGGGAGCTTTGGAGCCCTGGAGCTTCCCACTCAATTACTCAAACGATTTCTCAGATCCTCAGGCTCTACCTCCCTGAAAAAAGACTCCAGGGATCAAAGAGAATTTCACAATCCTTCGCCGAAGGTTGCAAACTCATCAAGGTGATTGAGGACATTCACGTTGTCTTCCTCCAGTTGCCGAAATCGATTTTCAAACTTTTCTTCAATCATCTCAGCCAATTGACGGGCTAGTGGGGCGGACCTTCAAGACCCGATATCCATACTAGTCTGGTGGGTACGTTCCTTCGTATGAACGGTGAGTTCTTTGTTGGTACTTTCGGCATAGTTCCTCGTTTTCAAACAAGAGGAGGCTGGTAAATCGGTATCCCTTTGTTGAGGACCCTTACCCTTTTGTCAAGTGTTTACCATAGTCATTGTTCTTTGGAAACTCTAGTCGCTTCCCACAGACGGCGCCAGATTGTGTGGGGAAATTTCTGCACAATAGTTGAAATAAAAACAGATCTCTCCCACGATAAGACTCCACCCATTGAAGTGGTGGATCCGACAACAGGGAATGGGTTGAGAAGGCCAAAAGGGACCTAAAGGCTGGTGACGTCAAACCGATTCCGATGGTTTGCGAGGAATTCCTAAAACACAGAAAACCAGTTAGAAGGGCACTGAAGTATTTTTCGGCGTATCCCCTCCAACAATTAAGTCAGTTTTTTGAGAGAAGGGAAGGAGAAAACACTGTTTGTGGCTCTTGAGAGGATATTTTTTATACCTTAGCAATGTATTTTCGAGGACTATTTATACCTTCAAAGGCTAATCATTACTTACAATCTAGTCAGTAGGTAATCTTTAGAGATGAGACAGTGTCCCCCATACTTTTCATGAGGAATGCTCCCATCTTAATTGCTCACATTGTTGGGCATTCAATGATCTTTCTCCAATGTTGGGGAATTGAATGCTTGGATTCCAGAGCGTTTAATGCCTCTCCTTCTTGGCTTATCAAGCCATGTTAGGTGTCTTATCAACTTATAATGCATTAAATGCCTGTCTCTATTAGCTGTATATCAATAGGGGTAGTTATGTCTTTTTACCATCCATCCTATATTTTATGCCACGCGTCTGACTCTCTTTGGCTGAATGTCTAATTCACCCAATCATACTAACTTCATCATGCAGAGTGTCATCATAATTGCCCGCCTAGCTTTGTTTTAGTCGTTAGTCACTGGCTTCCTAAGGAACCAATGACTCAGCAATTGATGACGTGGTTCCTAGGACCCGAGGGAACTCCTCGGGGCCGATGGAGATATGGGAGCCAATCCACTGGAGCAAAGGGGAGGCTAAGGCCGAGGACACGTGAACTCACCAGACCGAGGCAAGGAGAGGCCCTCGGGACCAAGAACACGTGTCATCACACCAGCACCCTTCTAAAAATGTCCCATCAACTTTTTGTAAGGGGAATTCTTCCCCTCAATGAAAGGATTCTGGCTGACCTAGATAACCATCCAGTAGCCTTTACCTTTCGTCCCATATCGGGAGAGAGTCGTCTCACTTATTAGGTGCTAGGAGGTACCTCCTCCATAGTAGGTGTTCACCTATATGGTAGGGGGGAGACGACTCTCTCTCGATATGGGACAAGAGGAAAAGGTTATTGGGTGGTCAGCCAGAATCCTTCCGTGGAGGGGAAGAATTCCCCTTACACCCATCAATCCTCTTCCTTTGAGGTTGAACTAATCGGAGTTCAAGAGGAGATAAATTTGACATGGAAACAGAGACAAAGATAAATTAGGGGTATCTGAACCTATTGGGGTTATGTTTGTTGGTACTGGTTTATGTATTGGTAGGTTACAACGGTGTGTGGGTGTGCGTAGCTGTGTGTGTATGTATGTGTGTGAATTCGAGTATGTGATTATGAACGTATGGGTGCCAAGGTAGTGATAGTCACTGTAGTGAAGGAAAGGTAATGGGAGACAATTTTACCAGAGGCCATTATTGGTGGGAGAGGCTTCCATCAAAGAAAGGTGGTGGTTTCGAGGAAGGAGGGTATTTTAAACATTTTTGATTACATGATTCACGCGTGATCTATTTCTGTCAATTTTACTAAGAAAACTAACGTAGAGAGTTAATTGTAAAATTTCCACACTTTGAGGAGTAATTTGTTTAAATTGAAACCAAAGAGAGTTGATTTTAACACAACTTAAAACTTGTAGGGGTTATTTGTAATTAACCCAATTGTTAAAACACCACGTTTAGGGCTGCCCTGGACTCATCTCGACCCTTCAACCCCGTCTCAAGCAAGTCCAACATGATTTGTACAATGCTAAGAAAGAATTGGCTAATTATATTGTACCGTCGGCGATGTCGTTGATCCTTCAACATCCTGAGGCTGGGTTTATTCAACAAGACCCCCAACAATCCGGCGATGATGCACTATAATATGCAACCCATGTTGGGGTTACAGGCCGTTGGTCCATCGCACCTCAGGACTCAATTGATGATTCGTGAGCCTCAGCACTACCAGCAACAAATGATGGAGGCTCAGCTGCTAGCGGCGAGAGCGCAATAGGAGATGATGAGGAGGACATATGGGCAACAGCAACAGCAGCAGCCACAGCCACCACCACAGTAACATGACCTTGTGAGGTTCAACGATGGGTTCGACACCACCACCGGAACTGTGACGGCAACTGGGTTTAATTAGATGACTGCTACGGCGTTGGCTTTGGGGACATACGACAACCCTTATCATGATCAGATTCAGCAAGAGACACAATAGCACTCTTATCATCCCCATCAGCTTCAGATTCAGCCACAACTTTTGCTTCAGCAAGCACAGGAGCAACAGACACAGAGGGCTAGTTTAATTTTTTTGGTGGTCTCTTTCATTTGATTGTAATTGGTATTTTGAGCAATTGAAATAAATGATGAGCATCTTCTTTCCATTTTCCATTTTCCATTTTCTTCTTCCATCGTTTAGGGCTTAAAAAGGAGCAACTTTGATGGGTTGTTTTTGGCGCCCAAACGTGGTGTTTTATCAATCAACTCTTTCCTGATTGCACGTGCAAAGCAGGTGAGACAAAAAGGGCCGGCAAGTCGGACAGAGTTAGCAATTGGGCTGGATTGCAATTGATTTGTATTATTGGGGTGCAATTTGAGAAAATTTAACTTTTAGAGTGTAAATTGAGAAGTTTGGAATCTTTTGGGGTGCAATGTGAGATTTTCCCAAGTTTAAATGCAATAATCCAAAATTTGAAGGGAGGCACAAGACTCTCTCTCTCTCATTCTTTTTCTCCGGTACGTTTGAATTAACTGTTTGTAATTGTTATCATTTAAGCTAACTATTGAGGTAAACCTCCCTTCTTTTTAATTTGAATTAGAAAAAAATATTATGCAACTAAAATTTAGATCCAAATAAACTAGGACGCTTAGATTAGTAGGTTCTATCAAAATTTTAAAATAAAGCCAATGATCCAATGGCCCTTATTAATTTACGATGTCATTTAAGATTCTAAATTTAAATTGCATAACATTGCTCAATTAATTAATGTCAATATAAATATAAGTTTAATATGGATGAATCGTTAATGGGCAACTTAGCTAGTGTACCCTTGGAGATTTCATCATTTCCACATGGCAAATGTGCATTTTTCTCCTATTTTGTTGGACATTCGAGCTGTCCTCTTTCCATTGTTTTATGGACTTGAAAAAAATATATTCGATACAATACCTATAATTTTTACTTTTTTAATGACTTTCTATAATTTTTGTTAGTCATTTACAACTAAAAAATTTATCACTTTTATAAATTATTTATTATTTTTGTTAATATTTTTATCACTATTGTATATATTTTTGTTATTTATAATAATTATTTTTATCACTGTTGTGATAATTATTTTTATCATTTTTTTGAATATCACAACAATAATAAAAACACCCACAAATATAATAAAAATAACTACAACTGTAATAAATAAAGATATGATATCAATTTTTTTTCAGTACTATAGTCAATTCCTTGTTTTATATACCATGATTAGCACCACCAATGAAAAAAATTTAAAGTTCCCATACCTTGACCGAAAAACAGCTGAAAAAAAAAGGGTGAACCAATAACCCCGGCATTGTTCTTTTTTTTTTTTTTTTTCTATTTAAAAAAAAAGTTGGCCGCAAAGAAAAGCGCCAAAAAGTTCTCAATAGAACTCCAAGACTTAGAAAAGAGTGAGGATTAAAAATGCCCTAAAAATGCAATAAACCATAGAAGCATCAAGAAGTTATTAAGTCCAGGTGATTTTGAACCTAGGGTTCAACAAGAAATAGTAATAAAGAGACAGTTTGTACTTCATTGAACTCTCACATCCTATTTTTCAGACCCGAGAAAATGATATTAGCTAAACGACATAATGATACATAAATTGGGAAGTCCCTACCCCAAGCATAATGCCAACACAATATGGAAAATCATAAACTTCTACCAAATCCAATCTCTGTTGCCATGACATGAGGCATTTTTGCATAAGCTGATAGAGAAGTTTTACCACTTCCAAAAGGATAACATGTTCAACAGGAAGGTCACAAAAGGATCACCAAACACAGCGATAAGTAACATGTGACTCGGTTATTTCACCAGTGTAAGTAACCTTCACCACTTGCCCCTTTTCGAGCCCATAATAACGGGCAATTGCATCTTTCTGTAACATTCGAGGAAGCTGCAAAATATTGAAGTTACCAGTTTAATCAGTGGCATTCAGAACACTTGTCATCTTTTAATTTGAACGCATACAAAGGCACACAAGATAGCACCCATTCTTCTACCTAATCCCCCGAATGGCAGAAAACTAATATATTTTGTCAACCAACACCTACATGTACCATAGGTTGGTGCAAGGTTGGCTCTCTAGAACAAGGAAGAAACTCCAATCATCTTGTGCCTTTCATATCACCATTGTTGAGCAAGGATGACTTCATTTATGGAATTATTTGCATAACATCTAAATTGATTAAAAAAAAAAATTATGGCTCTATTCCTATATTAAAAGGCAACACAAGTCAATCAAAAATAGTTTATTTTGGTTATCTTTACAGCCAAGCAGGCTCATAAATTCAAAGAAATGGGGCTCCCCCCTCCCCACCAAAACAAAAAAAAAAGCCAAAAAAAAAAAAAAAACCCCACACACACAAAAACCCAAAACCCAGAAAGAAGCAAAATACTCGCAGAGGGATTATTAGAAATAAGGCTTCTAGACATTCCAAGGGAGCATGGAAGACAATCCTGGTAAACCCATTATTTTTTGGGGATAGCCCAAGGACTAGATACGGATGACTTGTCTGTGCTTTACCAATTTTGAGAGAATAGAGAATTTAGGCATGATGGGTGTAAAATGAAGTTTCATTCCTTATAGGCTTACGAGGAAATGCATTATTTCATAAACGATTATTTTTTAGATTGATTCAAAAGATATGCTATAATATGACAATAATCAGTTTACAGTTTTTATTGTTTTGGCAGACAGGCACACCTAATTATTTTCATATCATTGCACATTTATATATGGAGATAGCCAATAGGATAAAGGAAAACAGAGAAGACATTTATTATCTCATAGAAACTAAAAGTATGCCTTTAGCAATTCATTTAATTTGATTCCAAGGACATTAGCATTTAATTATGATGATCACGAGTGCATGAATGAACTATTTTTTTCCAATGAAACAACCCTATAAAATAGGTAACCCTTGTGGCTTATACAGTGCAATTTGGTGGCTTCAGTAAAAATATATGGAGGAATTTTGCTGGCAATGCTTGAAGGTCATTGATAGTGCTCCCCCAAAAATAATTCAAGAATCATGTAAACACATTGGATATCCAGCAACTACACTAGATTCAGTGTGTTAATCTTTCCTACATGCCATGTAATTAGTTCCTTAGTAAACCCACAGGTATTCCTCATACCCTCTTATGCAGTGATGTGTGCCTGTTGCAATCATGATCATAATTCTTATTCTAGATTCCTGTCTGTATTATCCCAAAACCCCCAAACACCATGTGATGCTTACCTTGTCATCCCTGGAAATATATAAATTTCAACAATTCCTTCTGTTAGCATTCCCAGTTTAGTAGTAATGCACGATAGGAGAATCAATCTCATTGATTGAGCAGTCTTTGTTTTTGGATCTCCTATACAACAGTAAATGAAATATGGAATACATTCATTTGTTACTTGTTTACATGCAAAAGATCTTAATTAACTGTACCTAGTAATACACCACAGTAAATGGTTTAGGTAATGTCAGTCTAAAAAATCAATACATTCCATGTTGTTTGAACAATTTTAAATTGATGTAAATATGATAAGGCTGATAAGTTGATCCTATAGGACATCTGACAGCAATTAATTGACTGTTATAAAAATCAGAATGCTACAAATCCAGATAAGTGTGACAAATAAACACATCTTAATGTTAAAGGATTTATCACTTTACAGAATGCAAGTGATCATAGAATACTTGACAGATAAACCAAAGAAAAAATATTGCACTTAAAAATCCATGCCCGCGTATGTTGAGAGTAAGCACTAACCTGTTTCTCTTCCAAACTGAACTTCTTTAAGAGCTTTTGTTTGTCTTTATCAGAAAGCACCTGATGCTTTGGCTTCAAGACATGCTTTGTAATGTTGACAAGCAAGTCGGTAATCTGAATGCATGCCAACCCAGAATAAGACAGGAACATGCCAAAGACATTCAATAACAACAGTGATACAAACAATTGAAAATTTGCCGATATATACGTACATGTACGACGGTAATATGAAACTTAAATGCATGCTAACTTAATGTAATGTGACAGAAACAAGGGAAAAAATTTAAATCAGAAACAAATTCACCCAACTTACTTGGAATACTTCAACTTTAAAAGAAAAAAGATCCAAGGCTTTCGTAGCTTGACTCGTTATTTGATTTTGCACTATTAATATCAGCCGACTTAAACTGTCTTTGTTCATTATCTGAGTTGCAATGGCGCGGATGACATTCACTTTCACCACACCCTGCCCGCAGAAAAGGACTAGAACCTGCAATTATGATAATGAACAGTCCATTATGCCCGATAACGTAGATAATAAAAAATAGTACCATACAGCAAACAAGAGAAAAGGGATAAACAAAATAACAAGAATAGTCCATCCCTGCCAATTTAATCAATAATCCGGTCTGCATTTCCACACTGTCAGAAGGTTAATCCGTCAGACAAACACTACCTAGTCTAAAGGCCCACCAATGAACTTGCAAGTACTCCTATGTTGCCCTAACTTCCAAAAGATCTTAGAAACACTATTCAAAACACTTCAACTATACATGTTGGGGGCCATCAGTTTCTTTCCTATAATACAAGCAGCCACAATTATCAGAGGCTTAATATGTTAACCTAGGATTATATTCTTCAACATATATATAGATCTGTATGGAATGGCAATTCCGGAATGTTAATTCATCTCATGATGTCTCCTTGATCATTATTAATTTCTTTCAAAGATGCAAATTAGGTCACAACTACTAGTACACTACAAAGCTAAATTTCAGAATGAAGAGTTTTACAGAAGGCTTAAAAAGATCAATACAACATGTCCATGCATCAATAAAATAATTTGTGAACCCCAAGGAGAGAAGGGTTGAATTGATAAAGAATCATTTAGCAGGGAAATTTACAAGTAGCATACAGATTCAAAAACAACCATGGCACAGGACAACAAAGAAATAGACTTCCAGGGCATACTAGGAAAGAAATTGACATATCGACTTTTGAGTAGTCATTTTCTTTTGCCTTTTTGGGAGGGACTAAGGAGTTACATGGGCCTCTACCTACCTAATCCTCAACGATACAATCACTTTTGCCCACATGCAACCACTAAAAATAGGTACCCAGGGAGTAGACTGTGATGCAAAAGAAACTACAATGACTAAAAACGTAATGTAAAAAAAGAAGACAATATAGATTTAACAAAACAAACAAACAAAAAAAAAAAAGAAAGAAAAGGAAAAGAAACAAGAACTGATATTAAGGATGTAGACAGGTTTATTCAGCTTATGGATCTTTTCTAGGGTAATAAACCTCAAATTAAAAAGGTAAATTACTTAATTAGAAAACCCTAATGAATATCCAGTTTTAAAGTCCACCAGCTAAAATTATAGAAATGCTCATCTACATTTGGTTCAGATAGAACACAGGAAAATTTTCTTCCCTATAACTCAGACCCAACTCAATTTAACTCACCCACAAAGACTTATCCAACTCTAACTTTGACAACATAGATTCTGTACACCAAATTCATACAAATTCGTATATTCTGTCATGTGTTCTCTACGATTCTTAAACTCGGGGGAAAAAAAAACTTCTCTACTACCTCAGTCAATTTCAACAGAAAAAAGCAAAACAAACCAAAACACATCCTAAAATATGCAAGATACAAAAAAAGCAACACAATTAAATGCATTCGCAAGAATAATTTTCTACTTAATTTCCTATATATCCTGTCATGTCTTCTCCACGAATCAAAACTCATGGGGTAGAAAATACATTCTCTATTATCTGTGTCAATTTTGAAAGGAAAAAAAACAACAACTGATCCCAAAATATTCAAGTGCCCCTTTGTTTAAAACCAAAAAACAACACAAACCAACACATTCAAAACCATAATTTGCTATATACACTTTAGTTTTTCTGGGTAACCAAACAAAGGGTTCACAAGCTTTTCAGACCTTATTGAAAGGGTCCGATCGGTGAGAAGTGGAGATCCTCGGGCGATCAATATCTGCCTTTTGCCCATGAATGTTGCGAAACTCGGTAAAACAAACTTCTCTACTATCCCAGTCAATTTCAACAGAAAAAACAAAACAAAACAAAACCGATCCCAAAAACATTCAATTGAACCATCCGTTTTTTTTTGAATTGGAAGTTACCCATCTGTTTGAAATCAAAAGGAAAAACAAGCAAATGCATTCAAAACCATAATTTGCTATATACACTTTATTTTTTCCGGGTAACCAAACAAAGGGTTCGCAAGCCTCTTCCGACCTTATTAGAAGGGTCCGATCGGTGAGAAGTGGAGATCCTCAGGCGATCAATATCTGGCTTTTGGCCATGAATGTTGCGAAACTCGGGAAGAGAGAGATTGATTTCAGAGTCGGGCACAGCATAGCCTCTATCTTTCAGCATCTCCAACACAGTTCTTCGTGACAGGTAGTACCTGTGACTCTCCATGCTACCTTCGTCCACACAGCTTGCCAAACAATTCCCATAAGTCTCCGGTTCGGCGTGCATGTCCAGTGGCTCCACTTCCATCTCTTCTCTCTAGTATTGAGACTCTGGAAGAAAAAAGGGCGCAATTCTAAGTTGGGTTTTGTTGAACCTGCTGGTTAGTGAGGTCTCTTTTTAGCTTTAAATTTTGGGGGTGAGCTAGGTTGGTGTGTTTTTTATTTATTTTTTGTTTAAACGGTGAAAAGTGTATCTCGATTAATCTTTTTAATTAGAGACAGATGATTCACCTTCAAATTAAGAGATTTATGAACATAAAATATTTATAATTAAAACTTACAAAATTACTAAGATTTACGTTTGCAAATAATAATTTAAATGGTTTTTATATATAATACCAATAAAATAAAAATAAAAAAGTTAAAACACAAGAAAAACAAAAAATAGAAAAAAAAAAGTTAAAAACAACATAAAGAGGTAATAAAAGTTGAGCAATGCTCTTAGAATCTAATTTATTGGCAAAATTTGTTGACCTAATTCACTGTAACTTTTGAATTCACTATAGACCCCATCAAACAGTAAGACTTGGTGTTGGTCCAATAATTCTTATAAATAAAGTCACATTATTATGTCGATAAATTAGATCAAATTTTTAGATGCAAATAGTATCACTAATAAAAGTTAAGGGTGTTTCAATGATTTGAGTTAGGTCTTTGACAATGAAACTGTCTCATGTTCAATTCCATTTTATAACTTTTAAAGGTTAACTATCCTTATTCCTTAGGGGTTATTTGACAAGGGGGTACGAGGGGTTTGGTAAAATGAGCTCGGGAAAAATAGTTCAAAAGACCCCTAAATTCTATGTTTGGATCGAAAATTCAATTTTAAGTTCTCAAATTCGGCTCGTAGCTGACACGAAAATTAAACCTATGATTATAAATTTCATCAAACTTAAGAGAGCGATGGTTTGGGAAGATGGATTAAGATATTATAGATGTAAAAGATAATTATACTTTTTAACTTAGATATGAATTAGATTAATTAATGATAAAATAGTTATTTATAAGATAAATAGTTGATATATTTATAAGTCTTACAAGTGTATGTGTTACATAATAAATATGAGTATAGACCAAATTTAATGTTAAATTTTACCTTTATAAAAGAGAAATTTGAGTTTAGAATAATTTAAGGATCCTCCAAACAAGCCTTTAAAGTTTAAAGACATACTCTAATCCACTTAAAATTTCGGTAACAACCCTCAACTTGAGTGTGGACACTTTGTAGAAATTTTTTTTGGAAAACTCGGGGAGAGTGGAAAAGGTTTACTGACAAGAGTGTGGAGGTGTGTGCTCACGTGTGGAAAACAGTGTGGTTTTGTATCTGTTCCGGTCAGGATTTGCAGATGTTGTTGGGGATAGATTTTACAGTGCCCGAGAGACTACTTTTCAATTTATTTATCAAATAAATATATTTTTAAAAAAATAAGATTATTGACTCTATTTTTTAATAAAAAATTAAAAAAATTATCATTTTTATAATTCTTTTTATTAATATTATGATATTTTTATCGATTATAATAACTATTTTTATCATTTTTTTATAGATACCACAATAATGAAAAATTGAATTTATTTATAAAAAGACTATTTTATCTAAAAATGTATTCTTCTATTATCTAATAATAAACATTTTAGTAAATTAAATAATATAATTTTATATAAATTCATGGACTCCACATATATTTATATCACTTACTAAGAACATCTTCAACTCTGATTCAAATTTAAATTTATGTAAAAAACTTTTAAAAAATTATTCTAACATTTAATTCAAACTTATATCAAATCAAAAGAAACTCATTTTTTTATTCAAATTAAGAAAAATTCAAATCTTTATCTAAATTTTTAATGGTGAGTTTTCACATTTTTTTAAAGATCCAATGATTATCTTTACTCTCTTTTGAATTTGAATTTGAACTTGTCCTCATTTAAATTTAGATTTTTCATTCTTTAAATTTGAATTTGTCCATTAAAACCTTTTTTATCAGATAAAATTATTTACTCAAATATTAATTTAAATTTAAATAAAATATTGAGTTATTTTTTAAGATGCTCTACACGTGGGATTAAATAGGGTTTTTTTTAGTTCCATATACAAATCATTGGGCTCGAGTTTGATAAGGTTTCAAAAGTCCAATCCAAACCCCCAAAAAATAAACATCTAAATAGGCCTCCACGAGTTTCATCAAACACCCATTTGGCCATTTGTGAGTTTTAATCAAACGGGCACATCCAAATTAAGATAGACATTCATATGCTACTTGGCTGAATTGATCAATCCAAATGCTAACCAGAAGCTACGTAGAAGAACAGGCAACAATGAAGCTAAATGGGTTGGATTTATTCCTGTGACCTGATATGATCAGATAAGGCCCTTTGATGCCCTTATAGTATAAGCCAATCTGTTTAGGATACCAACTACAGAGTTTATTCTCACTAACAATTTCTGGTACAAATATAGGTTATCTATGTGTCCACCCTCTAGTTATAGGGATTTCCATATTCTTTTTCTCTTTTTGAAAACAACATTTTTGTATCTTCTACCCCAAAGAGTTCAGTTCAAAGTAATAACAAAGATCAGCCAGACTATCAACTTTGTTCTACCGATTTTGATAACAGTATCCAACCAAATCAAACTCACAAAAGTTACTCATTTTCACCAATTTTAGAGATACCATATACAATTAACTGCCCCATTTATTGTAGGTCACTCAATGCTAAGGATGCAAAAAAGAATTCAATGCCAAGGGCGTCGTCGTTTAAGGTCCTGTAAATATTTCTACATTCGACTTTCAATCTTACAGTCATGGTTCTTATATTTACAACCAGTAAATTTAAGATCTTTTTCTTCATAAAATATAATACAATGACTATCAATTACATATACATTTGTCTTCATAGTCAATTTGTAGTATATATACTCTAACTACCAAGAGACACAAATGCAAGCATGTACCAGAAAAGGAGTAACAATTCGAACTTAGAAACTACAATGCACAACAATCAAACTTCCATCAACAACTCACAAGCTTCCCTGTGAATTGAGTAACAAGCTGATGCAAATCATAACACAACTTCAAGGGATCTAGATCAAGTCGCAATTGGGCCGATTACAAGAGCACAAACAAGGAAGTTAAAAGATATACTCAACGGACTTATTCAAGAGGCAAGAACTCAAGGAAGTTCGTGGAGACCCATAAAGATTCATCAATAAGTTCCATTTCATTGTTGGATCTCGTTATGTTTGGCAGGTTTCACATCACAAGCAGATAATGCCACCTTTTTATTTTAGTGGTAGTTCAGTTCAGAGAGACAATGAACTAAGAATAACCAAAAGCTACACAATATAGACAGCACAAAAGAAACAAGTCTCAACACAATATCCTAAACAAGGAGATATATACTGCATTAGTAGTAGAATTGCTCATAACATACAGCAAAACATACATCATAATTTATTGGCAGCATTGCAGCATTCAAGAGCAGCAATTTGGGCACCGAATCAATCCGTTCTCATTGCAATCCGAGCACCTCCTTACTTTCCTTTCCTCTTCCTCAAACACTTTTCGACTTCCATTACAAATTAGGCACGGCACAAACCTTGCATCCCCACAACTGTCACAAACAATCCCTGGATCTTGAGCTGGGAATCCTTCTAAAAGCTTTGCCAACTGTCCAACCTCATGAAGTTGATTAATCTCATCCACACCCCCAATATGCTTCCCTCTAATAAACACCTGTGGCAAACTCACAGCCTTCCCTCCCAATACACTCTGCAATTCATTCCTATACATTGAATCCATAGATATGTCCCTTTCATCCACAAATACCCTAAAGCCCCTAAAGATCATCCTAACCGCACCGCAATCTTCAAAAGTCTTTCTAATTCCTCTTAAACTAGTATGATACAGCACAATTCTGTCTTCAGTCCCCTTTAAATAGAATTTTTCACTGCTAGATGACAAAGAGCTCATAGAATTAGGTCCTATTGGCCTAATTACTTTGGGCTTTACATCTTTGAATTGTTCAACCCCTAATTGCCTTGAAGATAATGCCTTTCTATAACTTAAAACCACATTTGGGTCCATTTTTGCGAGCAATGACTCCTCCGATAAATGCTTCCACAATGGCTTTGAATCCGAGTGTTCCACAATCTCAAAAGATTTCACCATGTCAATAACATCCGAATCTTTGTTGATAGACCCATTAGAATCTGATTTCGGATACAAATTGGGTTTTCTTGGGGACTCAATGGGTGGCTGAATAATATCAAAATCCCAGTCATCGAGGCCTTCCATGAGCTCCCAGGTGTTGATAACGGAGTCTGGGGAAGATGGATCAATTGGGTCTTTTGGAATTTGGGTTTTTGCGATGTGGGTCAACGAATTGGAGCCATCTTGGCCGTTGAAATTAGGGTTCGGAATTGGGTCGATGAGGATGAGAGAGCCGTAGGTGGTGGATGTGAGAGAGACCAAGTGATTGGTATCTCCTTTGCGGAGAGGTGGGTGGAGGACGAGAGGGGTTGGAAGGGAGAGAGTTCTAGAGACTGGGGTTGAAGAAGAGTCTGAATATGAATATGAGCATGGCGATTGTGAATAAGGAGAGTTTGAGAATGGTTTTTGGTGATCTTCGGTGGGTCTAGTGAGAATGGTATGGGAACGAGAAGCAGAGCAACCCATGAAATCAATTGAATGGAAAGTAAGGTAGTCAGAGAAAACGATTTTTGCTCTGTTTTGTCTCTCTGGACTGCCACTTTTTCTCCTTCTCTCTTACTTTCGCTTTGATTTTGTGTCTTCTCTGAGAGGCTTTTTGCGGGGATTTTGTTGCATCAAGAGAGAAAAGAAAAGGGGGGCTTTGGATGTGGATAAAGTGCCTTGTGAAATGTAGACTTTCACAGAGTGAGAGAGAGAGAGAGTGTTGGTGGGAAGGGGCTTTCAAGACAGCTGGGAAGACGATGGAATCAGAAATGGAATTAATGCAACGTAGAACGGCGAATCGCTCGAGTTTGGACACGTTTATCAATACGAATTAATTATAATTATTGTTTAAATTTATTTAATATTTAATTCTGTTTAATGTGATTGGCTCGAATTAAATTTGTTCATAGTAGGCTGTATAAACATTTTTTTTAATGCAAAAATAAAAATAACACATCTAAATGGAAAAGGTGTCACACTCTTGGATCCTGATTTATTAGGTTGGGAATTCTTTTTTATTTTGGAGTGTTTAATTTTGCAGTGATTATTCCTGCGAGATCGAATACTAAGTACTGGAACTTGAATAGATTTAAAACATATTCCTTAAAAAAAATTAACAATATAAACCCAATAACTAAGCTTAAATTGAGCATTAAGCAATGAAATTAACTTCAACCTAGTCTATATATACTAATATTTGGAAGACCCAATTTAATTACTTTTCAATAGAAATGGAAGACGTGTTTTAACATTTTTTTTTACCAAATTTCTTTTGTTTTGTAATAAAAGGGATATTCAGGTTATTAATTAAAACTTATGTCTACGAGTCCAAACACTCTTAATAGTAGCCTCAATTAGATTTCACATACTAATTTAAGTATTTTTTTGAAGTATTCTAAGCAATTTTTTGGGTCTTTTAGTTTTTTCTTGTCCAGACTTGCTCTTTAAGTTTAGTCGCATTGTATAATAACGTAGATACATTTGCAATTAATTGTATCATTCATATGCTGAGATATATTTTTAACCAAAATTTACATATCAAATTAACGGGATCATTGGATAAATGGGTTCTATCAATTTTTTAAAATAAAAATTATTGATCCATTAATCCTTATTAATTTGAAATACAAACTTGAGATACAAAATTGAATTACGTAACATTGTGTTTTTTGTTGATAAAAACTTACCTAAAGAATCGTAATCCATCTGGTTTGACCTTAGAGCACATCAGCCATTATTATTTCAAAATAAACAGATAATCCTCTTGTAGTTTTGGATCAAATTGAATAGTTAACACCGTTAGCAGGGATAATAAAAAGACATTTTTACCCCCTCAGAGTATTCCTCGTCTGCATCTTCCTCTTCTCTTCAGTTAAACGACAAAATAACCAACCACCTCCAGCTCCAGCTCCAACTCCAACTCCATTCCACTGTCCAATAACATCACCCCATTGTGCACAATCATCATAATTTCAATTCAAACAAATAGATTAAATTTTAAAAAGAATGTCATATTTAAAACCTATTTTGTGATAAGTTTTGGAATTGAGATAATTAAGAATGAAAACTAGAAATTAATAGAAATTGAAATTGAACAAAAATTCAGACTAAAAATCGAATTGAAACCAAGTCAGAATCAAATCAAAATCAACAACGATGCCCTTTGTTGCGTTGGTCATATATTGCAGAAGACATACCATTGAGAGAGAGAGACTTAAAAAGATGAGGTGGTTGGTTGTGTTGTTGAAAGAAATGATATGCGATGGTAGATGATACTGGTTGAGACAAGCTTGGGTGGTAGCATAGAGAGAGAGTGACTAGAAAGTAGGGAGGTAGGTGATTGTGGGAAGAGATGAGGAGGTGGGTGCTAGTGGAGGAGAGGAAGTGAAGCTGTGCTAGAAGCCGTTTTGAACAAGTTGGGGTGGTTTGTCAGGAGGTACGTACGCAAGAAAGGGAATAAGATGTTTCGAGTGATAATTTTGTCTTTTCAATGAGTAAAGGGCATAATTGTATTTTTATTAAAATTTGACTATTGACTCACAATTTTTTCCATACCCACACCTTAATTTAGGCTGTGTTGTAACACAATTTATGTTAATTTGGATGGCAATTATAACAGTAGCATATTGCTCTAAAAACCCTAGAGGTTTATCTGCTTATTTTTAAACAATAAAGGGGTGATGTGCTCTAAAGGCATATCAAAAGGGTGTAAAATAAAATTTGTCCTATAAATTATTCATCGTATGCATCTTTGAAATCTACTTATATATATCGTAAGTCATCAAAAAATTTAAAGAGATTATATATATGGATGAATTTTATTTTAGCTCCTTAAAGTTTTAATTTTTTTTACTTAGACCCTAAAAGATTAGATTTTTTTTTATGTTGTACTCTTAATATATTATAAAAGTGTTTTAATAAGACCCTTTTATTAGTTTATATTATTGATTTCATTAATTTTAATGGGATGAGTTTTGATAAAATAAATAATAGAAAGATTACAATTTAATACTTTTAATATATTAAAAATATAATATGAAAATGACACGAATCTTGTCAAAAAAAAGAAAAGAAAACGATATGAACCCCAACAACCAGTGAAAATGACATATCTAATAATTAATAAAGCAGCAGGCCCCTCATACAGCTTGATGCCACCTTCCTGAGGCAACACGGCGACTCTATTGTCCATTTGTGTATCTTACTTGCTCTGGTCGTTTTCTCTTTCCCTTTATAGTGCTAATCAACATCCAATTCTTCAAACAAACCCCCCCCCCCCCCCCCCCCCCCCCCCCCTCCCTCTTTCTCTCTCTCTCTCCAAACTTTTTTAGAACAAAAAAAAAACTTTTTTTGGGTAGTTAACACACAAATCTTTTATCTATCAACAAACTAGAAGTCTTATATTGTAAGGTGGGCCTATTTTTGAGTTATTTATATGATAATTTTAAAATAAATTTATTAAAATACGTTATTTTTGAATTTATTTATCAAATTATGACACTTTATAAAAAACAGGGTTGTTGACTTCGATTTTAATTGTGGGTTAAAAAATACTATTAATTTTTTAAGTTAGATATGAAAGAAGGTTGTAAAGCCTAATGAATTCACTCATAAAAGTAGAATTGTTGGCTCTGCATTTTAAAAGGTGTCGTAGTTTAGTAAATAAATTTAAAAATATTGTATTTTAATAAATTTATCTTAAAATTGTCATAGAATGAAAAATAATTTGATTATTTTCGTCCCACAAAAAATCATTTTCACCTAATAATTAATTAGTACAAAATTAGTAAATGCACCCAATTGCTGATTAGGCCCACCCCGGTTTAGATTCACGTTGTTAGGGATTAAATTACCCCATTAACATTCCTAGTTATCCATGGCCTAATGAGCATTCAATATGTGCACGATGATTTTTGCACAATAAATAAAATGGAAACAGAGCTCTCCCCTGATGAACTCGTGTTCGTCGAGAAGGTAGTGGATCCCACATAAAGGAATGAGTTGAGAGGGCTTAAAGGGGTCTAATGAGTGGTGATGAATTACCCTAAGGGCAGTCCAACCAGTTCCGGTGGGTCGCAGGATGCTCTTAGCACATAGAAAAACAAGTTAGAAGGACGCCAAAATTTTTTTCAGTGTATCCCCTCCGACGATCAAATCAGTTATTTGAGAAAGGTGAAGAAGAAAACATTGTATTACTCTTAGGGGGTGATTTTGCGTACTTTTGCAATAAATTTTTTAGGACTATTTATACTCCTAAAGACCCATCATCATAAATGGTCTAGTCAGTAGGTAGTGTCCAAAAATAGAGTAGTGTGCCTCCTATTTTGCATGGGGGATGCCCTAGTATTAATTGCTCGGGCTCTTGAACAGTTAATGCTCTTTATTCGATGTCAAGACTTTAAATGCTAGGAGCCTAGGGTATTTAATACTCAATATCCTCGGCTTCCTAAGATACTGCGGATGTCATATCATTGAGGATTCAGTAAATGCTTGCCTGGAATAGCTGTAAATCAGCAGAGGTGTTTCCGTTTATCTACCCTTTATCCTGCACTTTATGCCACGCGTCTGACTCTCTCTGGTTGAGTGTCCAGTTCATTTTGTCATTTTGACTTCATTGTGCAAAACAACCCCAAGATTCCTAAACTAGTTTAGACTGTTCGGTTGTCAATCAGTAGCCTCTCCAAAACCCTAGAACACGTGGCTAGATTAGAGCTTCAGTGAGCACACTTGGGGCCGAGGGCACATAACTTCCCTTTGGAATGGAATATGTCAGCCACCACAAGGCAGGTGATGGAAGAAACAAGTGGAAATACTTTTAAGTATTAGTACTGAGGCTGTCGATCTCTCATTCAGTTCAGCAATCGAACTAAAAGCAAAAAGGAATACATTTCCAAGTCTAGCTGTACATCGTGTTTAACAGACATTAGCTTCACTTCTTCTTAGCAATGGACAACTGATGCTTCCTCCTATTGTATCTAGCGATAAAATCAAGGTGCTCTTCTTGAACATGATGGCCTATGCATTGGCTCCCAACACACCAACTGATTTGGAGATTTGCAGTTATATTTATTTCATGAATTCACTGATCCGTGGAGTCGATGACGTAATTGAGCTGTGATCACAAGACATAATTTATAACTTCCGCGATTCTAATGAGGCAGCTGCAAATGTCTTCCACACTATGGCTTCTGCTGCCTTATATCTGAACCTTGGTATCATTCTAGATGTTTGTAATCAAATTGAAGAGTACCAACACCAATAGCAAGAGGAAAACATGGATGGCTCAAGTCCTTCTAGACCATTTTAGCACACTCCTTGGGCTGTTTTGGCTTTTTTTTGCCGCAATTCTTGTTATTATTTAATCTTTCACTCAAACCTACTTCCAAGTTTTTCCATGTCTTGCGAATCAAAAGTGACCGAGATTTCAGGTTAGTGTCATTGTCTTACCTCGTCACCTACGTTGTTAAGTTGCAAAAGTAAATTCTATGGCTTGTTTGCAGGTGCCACCACAAGGGAGTTCTATACACCCAACATTTTAGGGGTAGTTATAACCTTTAAAGGTGTTGAAAATGATGCTAAATTGTTAGGATTGATCCTAAGTATCACATAAAAGTTATAACGTGATCCCAAAATGATATGAATTCAAAAAATAATGTTTTAATTTTACAAAAAATGAGGGATATATGAAGGAAGAGAATATCAAGAAGATGTGATTGAATTTTATTTTATTTTATTTTTTGACTTGGAGATGCTTTTGAAAGTTAGTGTCA